TGATCGATTACGAAAAATTATAATCGATCATTGGAATTGGTGGCATTTTTTCGTCGACAATCGATGTTTTCTGATTATTGGTACAACACTAATCTCTGCAAGACAATAAATTTAGCAAAATAAAAAAAAATGCAATAGGAATTGAACAAATCACTATATATGACATTGCCAAGTGGAAATGATCTTTCTGTTTCGAAGAACTTTATAAATCATCTGTCTTACACAGCAAGTATTTAGAAAAATCATATTTAAAACCAAAAAGCACCATAAAATTTATTTTGTGATCAGCCATGGGTAAGAGAGGGCTATAAGCTGACTCCAGACAATGGCTTGAGATGATGAATTAATGCAGGATTTTGAGTTCTGTTATTTATTTCTCCTTCCAACCAAATTGAAAAAAAAATGTACTACGGTGTGATTGTATTTTATTTGTTTTGTGGAAAACAGTTATCAGACACATTGGTTTAATTGCTAAACACAAACTACAGTCAAACCTCAAACTTGACAGGACCAATATTTTAAGATATCCTAGAATTCAAGATAATAGGGGTAAAAACTTTAAGAAAAAGTGGTTGTGACAGTCAAATTACTTTGACTTATCCCTGGTATTAATTTAAGATATCAGTGTTTGAAATAAATAAGATTCACCGTATCAATAAAATCATAGACAAATTACAATGTAGCCTGGTGACAATTATGCTGTATAAAAAAGACTAGTCATTATCAGAGTTCCACTTATCAGTAGTAGCTACAGTGAGAAATGTTCAGTTTAAAACAAAGCAGTATGATAAATAAATATAAAATATTGATTGGGAATTTTTGTAAGGAAAATGTCAGCTAATAGAACAGAATAATTTTAATGTAGACAATAATATATAAATACCCCTGCAATAAAGATATTGGGAAAGATAATTGAATTGATGCATCACTGTGTTTCCCTTATAGAACATTCATCTTCAGAAATTATTTGTCTCAAGATCTGTCCAATATGATGTACTGAATTGGCTTTAATTTTTGGGAGTGGTTTTCACTTAGTGCATGTTTACTCCTTCTGCAGAACAGGAAGGCCATGTTTGTCATAATGATCCTAAATCATCCCCAGGATGTGTGATTCAAGTTAGGTTACATCATGTCCCTTTGTGGCTTCAGTGGCCACAATATGGGGTATCAATTTTAATATGAATAAAGGTGGAATTTTTAAAAAAAAATCTTGTATTGAAGATCAGGAGGTCAGGGGAACTCAGGTGAGTATTGTAGGCCGAGTGTTTCAAGCTTTTAAATTAGTGACTAAGGTTAAGGAAAGTGATTAGACTTGTACCCAGCTAGACATAGGTGGTAACCATAGTAAAAATTTTCAATTAAATGCTGCAATTATGGACACTAATAAACATGATAAATACTTTTTAATGCAGCATCCCTTCTTCATTTATACTAGAATCCCTTCTTTCTTTACACTAGAGTCTCTTAAGAACGACAACTCTCCTTTGTCTTACTGTTTCAAGATGAAGTGATATACCTTATTTGAATTGGGAATGGCTCCAATTATAGACAATCTACAGCTCTCTACAGGAAATTCTTCAGTAATTATACTAGTAAAAAACATATCATATAAACACATATAATGGTACGACTTATTACTTCCATGTAGAACAATTGCTTAGAATTTCCGTGCTGTATTTGACATATCGTAAAACTATATCTAAGTAATATCCCTTCGTCTGTGATGTCACAGCTTAAGCCATTATGTATTAGTGTTAGAATAATTGAATACTGCCATATGAAATCATATTTACTATCTTGGCCTCTGAAAACCTCATCCTAGAGGGCAAGTTGAAGATTGATTCCCTCATTGAATTCATTTTCCGATGTTCATACACATGTATTTTGTATAGCTTGATCTTAAATGATTTGTTTTGAATTAATATGTGCAAATAAGCATCAAATTTCATATGATATCAAAATGCATGTATGTCTGTGTATTAATTGTTATATGACATTACAACACCAGTAAAATAAAAATGCAATGTTAAAATATAGGAATGGAATATCACAATTATAGCATGATGTTCATGGTGATATTCAACTCTAGTAAAGGGGACAGAGATTTAGAAATTAATTTTTTTTTGAAATCTAAATATTTCTCTACTTGTTTGTGATAATGGTTTGAACTCAGGGTACAGCAGATATCCCATAATAAAGCAAGCAATAAAGGTGAAAAAAGATAAATAATATAACTTAGCCTTCCCATTATTTACTAGTACATGTAAATTATGCAAATGGAACGTAACAGGTGATTGTATAACGTGAGCATTTGCTTTGGATAAAATCTAACCTTCCTTTTTTGTTTGATTGGTTTTTTTTTTTTTTGCAAGTTAATTGAACTTCATCTTTGCTTTGATATAATTTAAAAGCTTTTTTTTTTTTTTAGAAAAAAGAGGATGTTCAAATTAAGCAAGAGTTTGTATTAAAAAAAAAAAGAAAAAAAATTGACTCCAGACAGGAACATCAAAGTGGTTAAGATTGTATACAATACATATTAGTATTTGTTACATTGCATTACCAAAATCACCTAACCTTAGTGAAGATGGCTACATATGTTCTATATTTTATTTTTAAAATTTTTTTTTGCAGGCTCTCGGAATAATCTTGCCATGGCATTAAAACCTCTCTTAAAAAGCAAAGTTGATGAGCTGTTTGCTCGTTGGTTGAGTGATCCAGAGACCCAGTCACACTTAAAAGAAAACCTAAGGCAACTCTGTCATGGAGAAAGCATCACCCATCAGTTTCTGACTTCACCAAGGTCATCCAGTAAACAGTCGCCACGGTTACGACCCAGTTCACCGCCTTACTCTCCAAATTCCACAAAGTTACCCAACCCCAGAAGTCCACGGAGACCGCTGTCAAACAAGAACAAGTCTTCTAATGGATCACCTAGGGTGAGTCAATACCTGTCCATATCAGTACACCAGTACATACATATATATATACTAAATATTAAGTACATGCAGATCAATCTGAAACATGCATTGCTAATATTTACACTACACCTGTAATGGTGAAATCTCTGATTTCAACTATCATATTCTGCATTTTTTGAAAGGTTCTAACTGTTTTTTTTCCCCCTGAATATTTTATTCTGTAATAAAGATAAATTAATAATAAATACTATATAAAAAATTGAAAGAAGAATAGAGCCATATAAACATTTTGACCAGAACAAAGGTAAATTAAGTGATGGCAATTTGAGGGATGGAAAATATGGCAACAACTCCAACCCTGCAACCTCAACCACCCACCTCCCACAAAAAAAAAATTATATACAATATATGAATTTATGAAACAATATGATCATAAATAAGTCAAAAATCATATCTGAGGAGTGAAAAAAAGTGAAAGCTACTCTAAATGTCAAAATGTAAATTTGAATTATTCCTCTTTTGACATTTCAAAACATTTTTCACCAACAAATTAGAAAAATGTTTTCACGAGAGAGGAGGAAATTAATGCAAAGCTCTGATTTATTATAAAAAGCTCTGATTTATTATAAAGACAAAAGTACAAGTAATGAAGCACCCAAACCTTTGGTGTGTTTATACCTATAGATGAATGTAATGATAGTGCTATAAACATCTTGGAGATGTTGCTGGAATGAATTGAACATGATAGGATCTACATATACTTGATATATAACAAATAAAATCTTCTTATTTTGTCTGTAAGAGAGAGTCCTCTGTTAGCCTGAGATTTTCATGGTTTTTTGAAATGTATATTGCAGTGTGTGGGTTTTAGTCTTTTTTTTTTTTCTTTTTTTTCTTTTTTTTTTTTTTTTTTACATAAAGCTCAGTTCAAAAGAGCTTTTCAGTAATAGATAAATGAAACCTGCTGTTATGGAGGCTTAAGTTTTATCTATAGCTCCTTATCATTGTAAAATGTAATACAGTGTTGAAGGACTTTACTATTCCGAAGTCCCTGCGAGATATCTTACGGTACCCTAATTATATATTTTTCTGTCATTTGACTGGTAAATTGAATGTCTTCAGTTGTTTATATTTCACATACTGGAGTGAAAGAGTATAAAATTAACCTGACATTCTCAAGCATCAATTAAGACATAAATTTTAAATAAACTGTAAATGTTTGTTTATCTTATCACAATATCATATATTACTAATTTATATGGTCTTATAATTTAGCCGACACAGTGAAAAGATGTTGTTTTTCTTAATTTTATTGAAGGGGGGGGGGGGCATTTGATTCCATATAGTAAATGAATGAACATAGGACAGTAAGAATTGGGGAATACAGCTAATTATACACTCTTGATAATTAATTTCACAGTAAAATTTCACAAATGCTTTACATTTAGCTTAATAAGTTTCTGAATTTATTTTGGGGTTGGGGGTTGGGGGGGGGGGGGGGTTGCAGACTTAAAGATAGTAAGTACAATGTAATTTAAGTTCAGAATAATAATTTTGCAGACTTGAGCACAATAATTGGGCAAATTTTAAAGATAATTGTTTATGGGAATACAAAACATGTTGTTGAAGATTGGAATTTGACCAAATTACCAGCAATAGAACGTATAGCATTAGAATGTACAGGTACGTTAGCTGTATTTTTGATTTATTTTTTAAAATAAGTCATTTCATACATTTCTCTGTACACGGTATGTTTCTAACAATTCTATGATTGATAAAAAATTTTAATTATGAAAATTATAAGTAATTGAGAAGGTTTGAAATAAAGGAAACCCCATATCTGATTTCTTATATCAGTTGTTTAAAGGCTGAAAAAAATGCAATAAGACAAAAACCAGTGTGACTGAACAATTAGTGATCCATGAAATGACCAAGAGGAAAACATTAGGTTAATACATGGTTAATACACACAAGATGCGTTTATGTAGCTCAGGTATTTGGTTGTGTGCTAAAAGATCAGTGTACAGCCATACACTGGTAAACACACGCAGCAGTAGTAGTTAGAGCTGCCACATTCCTTGATTAAGTTTAGAATCTTCTGCTTTTATTTACACACATTTATGTCTGCCAGACAGGGTCTTCTAATGAACTAACAGGTTCAAATGTCTTGACCATATAGTACAGTGGGAGATGTGAATTATGAATTGTTATTATAATATTTCTGTGCAGTGGTGTATGATGATTAGGAATTCATTATCAGTGTAACATGTGTGGAAGAGGTGCCTTTACCACCTGGCAAGTGATGTTCTTAAGGGTTACACCCCTATCTCCTGGAGAACAGTTTTACTTTGAAAATATTTAAGCCACTGGATTTGATTTTGGACATCCAAAGGTGAGAGTGCTTAGTTTAACGATGGTGCTTGCCAAATCCTGCAGTTAATGAATACACAGCTGATGGAACAGACAGATTCAGAAGAGCCAGGAAGTGTTCAAGTGTATACCTCCCATCTCAGTAACACTGCGTAATAGAATGATGCCTAAGAACTCTGCGGAGATACAGTATGTCTGTTCTCGTGTCACTCTGTACTACAACTGTAGAATTGAATTAAAGTGGAAAAGATCTTTACATCATTGTGAAAAATGTGATTTAAGAAGTGATTTTAAGGGATGGGGGACACAGTGTGGAGCTATTCACTATGGTCGGTGTACACCTGTGACTTTTCCGTTTCCTCAGAATTATAACAGACGGAAAGGAAACTCCCAGAATGCCTGGATACCAGTGGCCAAAGTATCGCCAACAAGACCTTCTGACTTCTCCCAACAGAACATTCCACAACATGTACTAAGTCTTAGTAATACGGGTTATTTTTAGAATTATTCTGATATTTGCATGTACATGATTGAACAAGATGAGGGTCAGTATATATTGGTGTAGTTCAGTTGTATAGGTCTATAAAGAGCCTGTTTGGTGATTATCTTCCTGGATGAGCTAGGTTACCTTGTTTTGTAATAATGATGTTGCTCACAATTCACAATTGTGTGTACTTCATCAAAAGGAATAAAAAAAACTTTCTTTAAGATAATGAATATATACTGTACTTAAAGATTTCAGACATGTAATTATGGAATAGATTCTCTTTGTTTTGGTATATTTCCCAGTATTTAACAGTAACATATACATGTAACATGTGTAATTAGATGATTTTTTAAATTTAATTTCCTTCTATTCAAATGAAGGCATTTATTTTCAATGAAATATTGTACAATTACAAAGGTAATTTCATTCATAAGCTAGAAGAAATTTAGTTTTTATTAATTTGCTTTTTTTTGCATTATTCATTGAGAAAAGTTATTTAAGCCAAAATATGATATTTGTCTCAGATTCAGACTATTTTAGATTTAATTCAGTCTATAAAATGAAAAAAAAATGATATATTTACTATATTTGATTATTAGAATAAGTATCCATTGAATATATACATGTACACATGTACAAGGACCTCAACCTTAATTTAGCAGAGAGTGCTATTCATTGTATTATTTTGAGTTAATCTTATCTATATTTTTTCTCCTTACAGTTAAATCTGCCAAATTCTGCCAAGGAAAGCAAAAAAGATGCTTTACCGCTCGATTACAACGATTCAGCGTCACAACCCAGGGAAAGTCCTAATGAACCGGACAAGGAAAACACAAACATATCATCCTTTATCACCGCTAGTCCCACTGTAAAAACCGTACACGGTGCCAAGGAACCAGAAAAAAGCAAGCGGAGGGAAAACAAAATCCAGCTGTACAACAATCTGAATAACGTGAAAATTCCACAGTTTTATCATCCGTACGGTAAACCCGTGACAAACCAAAGGAAAGATGACGGTCTCCAAAGGGCTGTTCAGGAGATCGGCAAACTGGAGGACGGGAAAGCATTTAAACAACACATGAAAACTATCACAAAGGTAACTCAGCCACTTTGGTAGTATTGTGATATGAACTTTATTAATATTGATAATTAAGAAAGTTCAAAGTGAGTTTGAACACAATGATATATGTATTAAATGATGTCTTACGGACCTAATATTAGCTATAAGGGTTGCTTCAATTTTGATTTCAGAAGGGATGAAATTTTACATAGATATCAATCACATGAAGAATTTCTTTAAGACATAAAACCTTTGATCTCGTTGCCAACTGATTTAATTTATTAGCTATTTTGTAGTTTGCTCAAATACTCCTAATATTACTAAAATGAAGTCCATATTTTCTAAGTGTTTGTGTAGGGTCTAATCACTCTATCCCCTCCGTTCTTACCCCCCTCCACTTATAACAGTTTTTTCACTGTAAAAGAATGACTGACTGCTTGTTTATTAATAAATGCAAGGTCAGGAAAGCATTTAAGTCCACTTTATACAGAAAACGAACTTATAATTAATTCTGTGCTTAGAATGATAATTGATTCAGATGCTTGCTCAGATCTAAAGTTTATATAAAGTTTCCTCTTATAAAAAGCCAAAATCCAACCTAGCCTTCTCACTTTGTGTATTTTAAAATGGTGTTTCATCCATTGGAATGTTTTAAATATGCCTTGTTTTGAGGGTGCCCTGTGGGGTTGATCAGTCTTGTAAGGACATATGTACTTAAATATGACAATTTATTGTTTCAGGCCTGTAATCTGCCCTTGTACTGGAAGGCGTTACTGTTTCACGCCAGTGGAGGGGACAAATTGGGTTACATCACCAAAGAGAGCTTTACTTCCATGTGGAAAAAGTAAGAATAGTTTAATTTTATGGGTCATTGTTTCAGACATGTATATTCTAATATATTAGCATATGGCTCAACACAGAAATGAAAGGCATACAGTATATGGCCATAAGTGAGTCATAATTGCATTTTTACACTACATGTATATATTTCATTGAAAAACCAATTTTTATAAAAACTTATTGTGAGGTCAATTTTTGCCCAATTTCCATGATTTTTTTCACTGAATCATGCAGAATTGTTTAAATTTTCTTGTCTTTTACTGCTAAACAAAATGATACACTAATCATAGAGAATAATTTATTAAATCGTCAATACAAAAATTTCTAACCTCATATTACTATGATTTCCTAACAAATATGAGTCCTAAAATTTTTAATTCACATTTGACATGTGATATCACTGCAATCCCTACAGATAAAATTATTCTGAAATGATATGAAGAAACTGCAGAGAATTCTACATTTTATGGTGTTTTAGTCATAAAAAAGTGGACAACAAATAACACTGCAATAATATTTTAGAAAAATGCATTTTTCATTGAAGTAATAAAATTATGACTCACTTTTGGCCAGGTACTGTACATCCAAGCATTACTTCATGAGGTAAAGGGTTATGTATCAGATCAGAGAGTTAGAAACTAGAGAATGATTTAAGAGGTCAAAGAATGAAGTCATATATTTCATGTGACTTTATATTTTCAAGAAGACTTGGGGGAATAGGAGAAGTAAAAATAAGATGTTGGATTTATTGCCAGTTTCCTCTTCCTGTAAATGAAAGATATACAGAATTTCTGAAGAAATAAAACACTAAAAGATATAGTTTAATTGACTCAATGCATGAAGAATAGGAGCAAAAGCTTTTGTAGAACTTTTGTTTTTCCAAGGATATAAAAATAACTTTTTATTCACTAATTAGTTGATTCCTGGACATTTTTAACACATCCAAAACATACTGTCATTGATGAAATAATTTAAATTGTGCCACATTGGGGTGAGGGTGTACGTGTTGCAAATAGTCACGAAACATGACAACATGAGAAATTGATAAAATGAATCACCAGAAAAATCTTTATTAATATGCTGAAATGTTAACAGTGTCTTTAAAAAATATATTTTAACATTTGTTATCTGTCAATTTGTTTAGAGTTTTTCTCCCATGCCATGATGAGGCCGCCCAGTTTGTGAAACTGGCAGCTAAACAGGACTGTAATTATTTAGAGGAGGATGATTTCTTCAATCTTATTCAGGTTTTCCTATTTTTCATTATTTTCCTCATTATGTAATTTCTCAAGCTTTTGAAAATCTTCCAGATTAAAAGACAAGCATGCAATGCCATACAGTGTATGTACGTATCTAATTACATGTATGTGAGAAGACTGATAATATATGCTTTAAAGTGATACTTGAGCAACAAAAGATCATGTATTCTCTAAAAGAGACAAACATCAACAATGTCTCACTCATGAAAAAAGTATTCATAGATCCAGCTATCATTAAATTTTGTCTGACTGCACTGTGGAAAGGTGTGAATTACCTATTCATCAATTTTCATGTTTACAGTAACTAGACAAGTGTTTCTGTGTGTAAACTTTGTCTGTCTGTCTGTCTGTACTGCCTGTGTATACCTATAAAAGTGACTGTGAATTTTCTCCATTTGTAAATTTCCATGTTTACAGTATCAAGATAAGTGTTTAACTAATTCAGTGTTTCTCTGTGTTAACCCTATCCATCTGTCTGTAGGATGTTGTGGATTCACATCCAGGACTGACCTTCCTTCTGGATGCTCCAGAGTTCCACTCCAGATACATCAATACAGTAAGAGCTCTGATTATATAAGTATCTACTGTTGTATGTTATAAGTTTGGCTTATCTTCACCAATCACAATATTTACTTACAGGTGATAGCGCGAATCTTCTACAGCATCAATCGGTCGTGGTCTGGAAGAATAACCATTAGTGAACTCAGGAAAAGTAATTTCTTACAGGTTTGTAGGCATTTATTTTTTTAATGGATGTCACATTCCTCAAGGTCTTAGTTTTAAAATTTTCACCTGAGGCCAAGTGCATTAATTTTGTTAAAGTAGTAGTAAGATGTTCATGATGCCCAAGAAATTGAATGCAATTATTACGATTTTGCTATGCATAGTATAAAATACATGTATTATATGTCAGTGTGTTCTTTTGTCAATTGAAGTATGTTTGAAATTGGGGGGACCAACTGCGCCAGGATTTGTAGTGTAGGCTGATCAATATTCTTCAGTTTAATCATCATAATATATATTTAAAGAAAATATAGTACTACAGTGAAACTTGTCTAATCCGGATGTTGTATAAATAATCTTGTCTAATACGACATAAATTTTAAGTCCTTTTCAGTAAATTCCTTTCTTTAAAATGTTGTCTAATCTAGCAAACTTTTTTGGAACCGGTGGTGTTCGGATTAGACAAGTTTTACTGTATTTTAGGTTTAGTTTTATTGGATTTTTATTCTCCTGATTGTCTGGATCCCCTTAAAAGATCAAACATATTCAACTTAAAATGTGTCAAATCAGAGGTGGATTGTACCTGCATGGTGGATTTTAAAATGTTTATACTGGTCTGTCCGAATAATTTCTACATTACAAAATGATAATATAAATAAATAATCTTACCAGTCTATGAAACATTAAGTAGAAATTTGCTGTCCAAAACAATACATCATTTACAAATACAATAAATATATTCATAGATACTGTGAATGTGTTGACAAGGGACATAACTCTTACTAAACATCATAATAAATCTATTTCAATATGAAATACATCAGGAACAGATCTAGAAAACAATGATAAAATAATTTACAAAAGAAAAGCTTTCGAAATTATCTATTTTATTTTTTAGCATACCAATTTATGGAAGTGAACGTAGAGATAATGTTAATTGCTTCTAAAATTTTGTGAAGACCTACACTATCTACATATTAGATAAATCTTTATGTTTATCAATAATCATACTTGGCTTTGGGATATAAAATTGTTAATAATGTTACAAATTAACTTTACCATATATCTTAAAAGAAAATTCCTATCTTCATGCAGAAATTAATTAACTCAAACTCAGTTGCTCATTCCTTCACTTTACCTTAGAAATCATTAGCAAAGATTTATCTGTGATGTGTGTGTTACTCTTACTGACTATATCACATGCAGGAACTTCATAAAAGAAACAGTTCTTACTTCCTTATGGTTAGGAAAGGATTGAAGCTTCTGAGTAGCTCAAAATTGTGATAGAGAATAGATAAGTGTGTTTGAGACATGGTAGTCTTATACATTCAGATCTGTACCGAGGCCTGTTTGTGTATTTAATTTTGAGAGCTTCAGGTTGTCAAATGAAGTGAATCAATTTAACTTGGTATTGATATGAAACTATAGCTAGCAACAGGAATAACAGTATTGATATGTCTGCTTGTATTTTCAGACTTTGGCACTGTTAGAACAAGAAGATGACATCAATCAGATAACAGATTTCTTTTCGTATGAACATTTCTATGTGATTTACTGTAAATTCTGGGAGCTGGACAAGGATCACGATCTTTATATCAGCAAGGAAGATTTAGCACGCCATAATGATCATGGTAAAACTTTTTTTTTTTTCTGAAGGTTTCTATATTTCTGATTATTTGTCAAGGCATGGATCAGTGCAAAAAAAATTTAAGAATTAGCACCTTGTAACAATCATGGTAAAGGTTTGTTTTTTTCTGTGGGTTTCCAGTATTTCTGATTATTTGGCATTCCTTGGATCAGTGCAAAATGGTTCAAAATTGTACACTAGTATTTGATAAATATAAACTTGATTTGTGGTATTCAAATTGTGAACTGTGCCTCTTCAGACCTTCATTAAGTGAGGTGGATGTGTATACATGTACATGTATTTCAATTTAGCTACAATCATAACCACTTGAGGATACTGAGTATTTTTATTTTCTATCATTTTCTTTTTTTCAGCTTTATCATTAAAAGTAATAGACAGAATATTTTCTGGGTCTGTGATCAAGTAAGTAATATTTTACTCAATGTCTGAATATAAAATGAATATCTGTACTTCGTTGACACCATTTGATATATTCAGACTTTTTAGTAAAGAAAAAAAATTCTGAACAATTTTCAAATTTTTGTTTAAATAAGTTTGCAAAATACATGTTTCAATTTTGTACATTTATGTATAAGTTTGTATTACCCAATTTATCCAAGTATCATTTGGATTTTAAAAGTTTCATCAAAACAAAAATGCTGTAGTGATCAGTGATTGTTTTGTATACATTGGCTTATTAGTTTAAACTTTTAAGTAGATAATAACTTACAAACATTCCAAGTGAAAATGACATCAACACAATAAAATCCATACACTAGTACTATAGCATTAAAGTGTTTCTTATCTGAATAATTTGTTGAGTTACATGTATCACAATGTACATATAATGTCATTTAAAGTGAGTTGATAATTTCACGAATAATTATAAGACTAGTGTAATGAATCTTTGAAATGTCTTGAAGACCTTCTTCATGTGAAAGAATGTTAACCTTTATTTATAGAATCAAGTGTGTTCATATCTTTAGGCAATTATAAGCAAATTCTGACTGTAGCAAACAAGGTACACTTTGCTATTGATGGGACTGATTATCTTGACTATCATGAAGAACTTCTGCTCAGTAGTGGTTGGGGGCATGTTTTGTTTAGTCTGCATGCTGTTCATATTTCTATACAGTTTACTGTTCACAAACGCAGAAGAGCTAGAGATTCTCTGATGCTCGAATTCAAGGCTTAGTATCAGAGCAAGGTCATATTTTAAGTTCAAAGGTCAACTTTTTTTTTTTTACATTTGTATTTTATGTACAGTAATTATAAAATATGTAACCATTGAACCTTTTTTAAGGGGCACTAACTTAAAGGATGGACGAATGAGCTACCCGGAGTTTGTCTGGTTCCTAATGTCTGAAGAAGATAAAAAACATCCCACAAGGTAATTCTCCATCAATAACCAGGATAGAATCTGATTTCTCTGTAACATTTCTGTTTTGTTTATTGTTTTTTGTTTTTGTTTTTTTTGGTGGAATCATTTTAATTTGTGGGGGTCAATGGTCATGGGTAATCAAAATTTTTCACTTCCGTTGGGACATTATGTTATGGGTAGCTGGTATTTACGTAAGAAACCTCAAACCAATACCTAAGGAAAGTTATTATTCATGGGGATGTTAATTCAGGGTAAGGATGACCCATTAAAGCCACAAACATTAGTCCCCCACAAACAAGGATAATTCCACTGTATGATAGAAAAGATTTACAGGTTTCATACTATTTTTGATGAGAGAAGACAGTTTTACTTGTTTTTATATATCTCAATTTATGATATACATCATAAGAGAACTGTTATGTATTGTAAAAAAAATATTTTAAATTGGTCACTGTTGCATACATGTAACATATAACTTAAAAATTACTAATAGTTTAAGTTTAAAAACTGAGTCTGACTGTAAATGATAAATCCCTTTGAGGTCTGCAGCTACATGTATCATAATTTGTTGAACTTTCAGCATTGAGTACTGGTTTCGCTGTATGGATTTGGATGGGGATGGTGTTATTTCTATGTATGAAATGGAATATTTTTATGATGAACAAATGCAGAAGATGGAGTCCTTAGGAATAGAAAAACTTCCATTTGAAGATTGCCTGTGCCAGGTAACATTAACATTGAATTAATAAGAGTAGAAGACATATGTATATCTTCTACAACCTTAAAAGCACATATCAAATTAATGGAATTTTTAAACCTACTTAAGTGACCCTGTAAAAAACTTAAGTGACTCTGTAAAAAACATTGCCTGTATATAAGTTATTTATATATTCCTTAATATACAAAGTTCAAATTGAACAAAAGTATCTTTTAGCTAATTCTTTTACATGTTCTTCAACCTAGATTAATTCTGAAATTTAGACTCTTCACCAATCTTTAATAAAACTTTAATTATACCTCAAACATAGAATGGGATGGACTCTTGCATGACTTAACCTTCCCCAGTCACTGTAATTTTTTTTATATTTCATTTTTTATGGGAGAATGGGGGGAGGGGGGTATTTGTTATCACCTGTTGGTGAGTGTCAGAGTGTATAAAAATACCTTAAAGTGTATGCATTTATTAGTACAAACAGAGTGGTCTCATTGATTGCTGTGACAAAGTTACATGTATCTGTCTACACTTTTCCTTGCAAAAATATATTTTCATTATTGCTTTCTCAATAACAGATGCTGGATCTTGTGAGACCTAAAGTTTTGGGGAAAATAACACTGTCAGACCTCAAAAGCTGCAAAATGGCCAACATCTTCTTTGATACATTTTTCAATCTTGACAAATTTTTGGATCATGAACAAAGAGATCCTTTTGCCAATGCAAGGGTAAGATTTCTTTTGTTTTTTAAGTGATAGAAAGTAATCTTTACTTTGGCTGCAAAAAGTAAGCATAATTCTTCAAGACAAAATGCATTTGGTTGTAAACTGGACTTTTTTTGTAAATGTTCAATAGACACAAATTTGTTAGACTATAAGAGATATGTGTATGAAGGACACATGGTCTATAAATCTGTGTCTTTTTGAAGAACTTCAACAGTAAATCTTTGTATTTTTGAAGGACTTTGACAGTGAGTCTATTTTTGTAGGAGTTATAAAACTGTGTAATTTTTGTAGGATTTTGACATTGATTCTCTATATTTTTGTAGTATTTTTACAGTGAATCTTTGTATTTTTGTAAGACTTAGACAGTGAAACTGAATATTTGGAAGTCTATTTTGTAGGACTTTGACAATAAATCTGTGATTTTTTAAGACTTTGACAATGAATCTCTGAATTTTTGTAGGACTTGGTCAGTTAATCTGTGTATTTTTACAGGACTTTGACAGTGAATCTGTGTATTTTTGAAGGACTTTGACAGTGAATCTGTATTATTTTTACAGGACTTTGACAGTGATGCTACTGAGCCCTCAGACTGGGAGAAGTATGCAGCAGAGGAGTATGAGATACTGGTGGCAGAGGAGGGATCTAATGACCAGGAGGAGATGTAAGGAGTCCTGTGTCCTTGTTTAATTATCTGTGATGCATGTATAATTTCCATGCTTTACTCATCCTTCATGCTGAGTAATTTCCGTATAGTTTCTATATTTAAATCACCTTCATTATGATTTATCTCAGACGTAGTTAATCTGCTCATTCCTGATGTAAAATCTTTGATTTTTATTTCCATGCTGTCGACATTATCACTTTAAGTATTACTAGTATTTTCATAATTTTTGATTTTCAATGAATTCAACTTATAAATTCTATTTCAAATCTCTATCATGAGACACTTTCAAGACAAAAAAATTCTGTATAAAGAAAGATGACAATATGCCAGTGAGGCATATTATTAACATGAGATTCTGAATTTCCAGACACTATGAAGATGATTTTGAGCCTGATGACGAGGAACTAATTAACCAAGAACTGAAGAGAGTTCAGCAGACTAATTCAGCCCAGTTCCTGGGGGGTGGGGATTCTGGTGCCAGGGATGAGGATATTTATGACTTTTCCACTGATAATCTGGGCTATTAAATGGATTATGCAGACTTCCTTGCCTTTTCTGAATACCTGTGATATGTCTCGAGTTGTCTCGGATGCACTATAAACTAAGGACAATCCACTACATTGTTGGATATGATGCAGTATTTCATCTTCATGTATAATTGTTACAAAATTATATATACAAGGTCAATAATTGAAGTATTTTGTATTTAAGGTTGATAGTTGAAATACTTGTAATTCTTCTCTGAGCTTTAGTTGAATTATTTCGTTATCAGAGATTACATGGTAAATTATTTCATATTTGATGTTAACTATTGAAGTATTTCATGTCAGTGTTCAAACATATTTTATGAAGCTAGTAGTTGAAGTATACATTATTTATTTTTAATTTTTTTGTATCGTATCGGATGCCTGTAGCAGTTGAAGTACAGTATGATAGATAAGTCTATTGTGGTCAGTTAGATAAGCCCACAAGTCAGAACATCCATTTTCTGTATTATGCATTTTCACAAAGCTTTGTTTAGCCTGGTCATTGTATGAATGTTAAAAACACATTTGACATAAAAATCAATTTCAATTTAATTTATTTTATTTATTGATATATATTCTGTATTAACTATGCATTTTGCTGTGATGTTTGTAATAAACATTAGGCATGTAAGCCTGTCATTGGAAATTAGTTTGTTTTTTTGGATAGCTCATCTAAGCCAAAGGACAAGTCAGATTTTCTCATAAAATTTTGTTCAACGTATTGCATTTCTTTTTGTATATATGTGTGCATGTACATAAATGTACATGTGAGCAGATTAATTTTCAACTTTTCTACAAGAATGCCAGGCCAATTTCAACCAAACTTGGCACAAAACATCTGTGGGTGAAGGGTGAATTTTTCAAAAATTTCCTGTTCAAGAAAAACAATGACATACTATGGTCATATTAATATACAATTATCCCCATGTAGTAGAAATTAAAGTTTCTTTCTTCATGTTGGGGCTAGTTTTGAGCCATAATAGGATGTTAAAATTTGACAACCAATAGAAAAAATTTAATAAATCATCTCCAAAGCAGAGAACAACAATATAGTAAATATAGGAATGAAAAGTTACATGCGAACAGCTTTAGATTTAGCTAAATTTCACTAAACTACTAATCAAGAAAAAGGTCATTCCCCCAGCTCCTAAGGTATGTTACTTCATTCGTACATTGTCATGTATTTTGATTTTATCAAGATATAATTGTTATTGATTAAATATCAAATACTTTAATTTGATTATAAATAATTAACACTTGATTCGGTAAATAAATGATATTTATTTCATTTTATCAGACACAGTTTCCTTCAAACTATTTTTCTCTCCTCACATCAAGCTTTTGTTTCTTTTTACCAAACGGATTTTTCAGCACCCTAAAACAAATTAAATACACTAAGTTAAGGGGAAAATAATACATAAAGATTAAATCCTTTTATCCACACAGGAAACCAAAATAAAAGTTGGCTTTAAAATTAATAAGCGGAAATTTTACCTTAAAATAATCAACACCAAACAGGAACAGTTTTCTAGGCCCAAACAGGCCATCGTCATCATCATCATCATCATCATCGCAATTGTCTTCCTTTAGAAGCTGGGGAAAAAATGCAAAGTTGTCACATGTTACATATCTACTATTTCAATAATTATACTTGTATTTATAAATCTGGGAAAAGATAGCAAAGAAATATTCAATTTAGACAGGCATTTTCAAGATTTTTTTTTTTGAGTTGCCTTCAGCTTAAACTTATAAGTTGAGTTAATAATTATGTAAAATTTTTAATTTTATAATATTGTATAATACCTCTTGCGTAACTGTTATCTTCCTATTGATTGGAGTCTCTTGTTTCCTCGACATCTCTGGACTTTCTGGATCTGTTACATCCTGTCTTTGTTTACCTCTTGTTTAACTACCACCTCCTTATTCTCCTCTGCTTCCTGTGTGGATGCTGACTCATTCTCTGGATGAACTTGTTTTAGTAATGTTTCACTCTTCTCTTCTGAGGGAGTTTGTGTTATCCCTGGATCTGCTACATTTGAAGAACTTTGCTCAAGTGCTAACCCCAGCACTACTGTATTCTTTTTCTCTTCAAAAACGTGTGTACATGTATGTGCTATCTCCAGCTCTGCTGAAATGTTTTCCATTGGGAGAACTTGTGTTTCTGATAATCCAAGCTCTGTTGACTTATTTTCCTTTGCAAGAACATTTGTATCTGCTGATCTAAGCTCTGCTGCCTTCTTTCCCTCTTTCAGAACTTGTGTATCTGCTAATCCAAGCTCTGTTGACGTATTTTGCTCTGGGAGAACTTGCGTATCTGCTATCCCCAGCTTTGTTGCCTTCTTTCCCTGTGGAATAACTTGTGTATCTGCTAATTCAAGCTCAGTTGACTTCTCTTCCTCTTTGGGAACTTGCGTATCTGCCATCCCCAGCTCTGTTGCCTTCTTTCCCTGTGGAATAACTTGTGTATCTGCTAATCCAAGCTCTGTTGACTTCTTTTCCTTAGGGAGGACTTGTGTATCTGATATCCCCAGCTTTTCTGACTTCTTTTTCTCTTTGAGAGCTTGTTCATGTTGTTTACATGTAACTGCTAATCCAAGCTCTGCTGATTTAATTTCCTCTGAGACTTGTGTATGTGCTATTACCAGATCCTCTAATTTCATCCTTTCTGGTGAAGACTGTTTCTCTGTTAACCTGGATTTTATATTTTGTTGACCCTCTTTTGGAAGGTCTTTCTTGTAATATTTATTCTCATTCTTTCTTTGTTCTGTTGATGTTGGTTTGACAGCCTGAAAATATGTGTATAAATGTATTTTATTCTCCTGTTTTACTGAATGCAATAAAATGACAGACTTTTAATTAAGTTAATTTTGGTCACAGATGTGATTTATACAAGCTTAAGAAATTCAAGAGGAAAAGAAAATGTTCTTGATAAATAAGCATGTATAGCTCTTATGCATATAACCGTATGTAAGAATGAACACTTTAAAATACCTCTTGTTTTATTTTCCAAGAATAGTTTCTTCTTTTTGCTGAAGTGTTTGCCAGCTTCTTTGCTTCATATCTTTTTTGACTAAAATATAAAATAGGTTTTTGTACTGCCTTAAGTTACATCCGGGTCTTTAATGGAGCACAGCATGAAATCAATGTTGTTAAACAATTTTGCAATGGTGATTTGTTTATTATATTTTCAAATCTATAAATAATAATTCAATCTATCATAAAGAACATTAAAAATTAAAATTATAAGGGGAAAAAAGTTTGGTTTTATAAATATATTTTTTATCAACATTATTACAAGTATTATCTTCAATCAGATTTTTTAAATCCAAGTATTGTTCGATCACTCGGAATTATAAATAATTCACAGAAATAGAATAGTCTGAAGGAACGGAAACTGAAATTTGGATAATGTAACACAAAATTGAGTTACTACCTTAAGTTGTCTTTCTGTTCTCTTCTACGAGTCTGCTCAAGTCTGTTTCTCTCCATGCTAGTTCTCTGACCCACAGCATTTTCTATCTGGAAATAAGAAAAGGCCAAAATTGTTATGGGCGAATAGTGGTATATTTCCGACTTTTTAAACAAAGTTTTCACATTTACATGATCTGCTTAGTTAAGACAGATGTAACGATTTTTAATTTTAGCCAGATGATAATAATACAAACTATCAGAAATACACGTATTTGATTTAAATTCCAAATATAAATATACAGACCTCTTTCTTGGATAAAATAGCGTAAAACAATAACTGTGAATTGTCATTTATTGAAAATGACAATAAGTATTAACAATACAATAAATGGAGAGATCACAAAAACCTATCTTAATCTATAAATGATTTTATCAGAAATATATATATACAAACATTAAAATTCCTGTCACCACTGAATAAATTTCAATGGATTGAAATACCTTGGTTTTTTCTCCTCTTCTTCAACTCTCTCGGCCCAGGAATAATCAAACTTTAAAATCTGAAGCTTTGTTCTCTGAAAGTAAAGAATAAATACATCTACATGGGAAATAAATAATTTAGTAAAATGTGTGACATATGTCCAGTACATACTGATATATAATTGTGTTCAGGGTGTTATTAATTTCAAAATTGAGTTTAATTTAAAGATGCAATTCAAACAGCACTTACCCAATCTCTAACCGGTTCATCTCCAAAATCGAGAAATGTTTCTTCTCTGCGAGGAGAAATACACGTTAATGTTATTGGTAATCTCAGTGTTACATAAAAGAAAGATTGAAATATGACAAAACTATATGATGTGTTGATATAAGATTTGTATTTATCTTTGGGTAAGTGACAGTCATACCTGATGTTGTCATTGTTTTTGTTTTTTGTCTGTTCTCCTGTTGTCTCTTTATTTAGCACTCTTTCCATTTCTTCTTGCTGCTTTTGAGCCTAAAATATCAGAGTATATGACTATGTGCACATTTACAGGAAATATAACTATTTCCTATTTTTTTTTAAGAACGCTAATTATAAACTTTGTTTAATAGTTATCTTAAAAGTATGCCGATATGGAAATCAATTGAATTTAAAAATTTGATAGTTTTTTTTTTCTCATATAAGCATACATTTTGTTTGTTACTAAACTTGTATGCATTTTACTCCCTATATTCACCTCCATAAGTCTCTCATGCTCTTCAACGGCATCAGCCCAACTGTAACTAAATTTCAAGATCTTCAGCTTTGAGTCCTGAAAACAATCGTTTAGTGGATAAGCAAAACGTATAATTATAATTTCAAAACGCGGAGGGGTGATTTAATGCATACAAAAACATGACATATTCTAAAATGCCTTAATACCCCCCCCCCCCCCACAATTTCCCAATTTTGCGAAATAAATGCTTGCAGAAATAATGTTAGTTTGATCCGAAAAAGCATAACACGCAGATGTTGATGTATTTAGCTTTTCATGTTAATTATATAAGCATACGAAACCATTCTCAAATCTTAAGTTTACAAAAAGAAATAGTAAGTCAGTTTAGTTACTATTTATGTATGAATGCTAAACTTACAACATCTGTGACCGCATCCTCTCCGAAATCTAAAATCTCATTCATATCGATGTCCATGTTTGCTTGCTACACAAAGAAGAAACAATTATATTTATCAGAAATTTGAAATATACATGATATAGATAGTATTGAAATGTATCATCTTAAAAGAACTGTGACAAGAAGATTTATTGCTAAGCTCTGGGCTAAAAATACCTTCTACTTCTAAGCTCAACACTGTTTTGTTTTGTTGTAGTGATGATTGTTACGTCACACTGTTTGTGACGTTCGATCTCGTGATAATGTAATTATGACGTCAGTATTAGAGAAAAACTTCACAAGAATATTCATTTTGTTTTTATTTTGCCTTTTCACGACACTGTTACTTATTCTTTTGGGATAGGGGATGAAATTTTTCATGAATTTGAAAATTGTCTCCCAGATGCATTTCTGTCAGACAGAAATTTCTGATTTTTTTTTTTTTTTTTTTTTTTTTTTTTTTTTTTTATGAATTCAAGTTTTATATTTCTAATGTTGCATTAATATTAATTAAATCCTTGATGTGACAACTAATATATTAATGAAAAATACAAGGTTTATTATTAAAGCTACCCTTTTTTATGAGTTGATATTTCGTATATAATGCACTGAATGGATAGTGGCAAATTCTGGGGTTTTTTTTAAAATGATGCTTATATTCGTACCCCAGGAGAACAACTTCAGATTTAAAACTGCTTTCTTCAAGACTTAAAAAAATTCAAGGTGTCGAATGTTGCATAATCTTCTACATTTCTACTGGTGCTGATTTTAAACACTGAACTCTTACATTTGACAACAAAAACAGCAAAGAGTTAAAAGATACAAAAGAGAGAAAAAAATTCTACTCACTATACTGTATCTTCGATCCTTCTGTTAGGTTGTGAAGTAAATAAAATTGTGACGTCAATGCAGCTTCAAACGTCATAATTAGCCAATGCAAAAATGTTGATCTTACATTTACGTGTACCTCAGAGTAAACAAAATTAAAAAAAGGAGTAAATTGACAATAAAAATCCTCTTTTATTTACTTCACTGTTGAATTATATTTTGCCTTGTTTTGATATAATTGATGTTATATTTTCAAATTGTTCTCGTCTTCATTAAAAAAAATAATTATCTTGGCTATGAGAACTAGTGAAGAAAATGCATATTCTGATTCATGACCCCCCCCCCCCCCCCCAAGTTAATGATTGCTTAACTACAGCTTCGTAAAATTACAGAGGGAAAACGTTACTTGAAAGAATGGTTAATTATAATTTTTAATTACAAAAATTCAATTTTCTTGTCAGTGAGAAAGTGTTCAACATTTTTAAAAATTACAGGAATGAAAGTGAATGAAACCAAATTTATTATGTTCGAAAGCTTTTTACGAAATTTCCTTTCTGAAATGATCTCTAAAAGTTATAGTAAACAGGTGCTTTCCCCTATCTGTTTTTCCACGACTTCTTCAAACTGTCCTTCCGAGATTGATTAAAACTAAAGTTATATGGTATCTCCTCTATTTGATACATCCTTTCCGCTATTTCTAAATGGCCACGAGTAGTGCTTGGCATCAAACGCTGATATATAATTAACCTGTATTTGCCCGTATTTCTTCAAAGAAATTTGGTCAGTATTGCTCGATGATAGTTTCTGAAGTCATTAAAATTAATCATTAATGCTGAAAAAAGGAACCTGTGGTATAATACTGAGTATACGATGGATACACCTATAGAAAAAGTCAATGTTTTACGAGTAACTAATGGCGATTTTCTTTATCTTAGCAAATGAAAAAAGTATGCAAAGCCAAAATTTCAACTGATGCAAAAGGAGTTGTAAGGCTGTTGTAAGGTTTTTACCTCATTAACGGAGGTACATGTTAAAATAGATCGCGGAAAAAAAATTGAATCGAGGAATAGCAGTATGATTAGTCGCGGAAAATCAGTATTCTTTTTCTCTCGGGAAAGCAGTGGCGGATGACGGAAAAGTGACAATGTAAAAAGAAAGTATAAAAGCACGTAGTAAAAATTCGACAATTACTTTATAAATATCTAGAAATTATAAACTTAATTCTCTTTCTCCAAAGTTTAATTCCCATCTACATCTGCATTCGAGAGAAGACAAAGCTTTTGAACAGCTATCGGCAAAGTATTCAATATTTACTGAAATTGAGAAAAAAAAAAATGAAACGAAAAATGAATCAAGTGAATTCATACCGTTTTTTTTATGGGATTGCAAATCCTATAATATTATCACTGAAACAGTCCTCCCCCCCCCTCTCTCTCTTTTGGGAGAAGGGGGGTCAATCTGATAAAAGTTGAAAGTGACATGGAAATCAGGCCCCTGAAATTATTTACATTTTAATATGAAACTCACCTATAAGTCAGTGTAGTTCGTCTTTGAGTATGGATATTTGGAATGCTTCGGGAACTACATAAAGATTATGTCAGTCGAAGATGAACCACCTGGAAAGTCACGAGTAGGTCTATCGCTATGAATGCTGGATAAGGAATCTTCTTGAACCTTTTCGGTTAAGACCACGGCACATAAACTGGCAAGATTGGAAATATACAGCTTACACCACTACGTCCCCTGGAGGGTAGGGTTTTCAGGAAAATTCACATTCTCTATCAAGAGTTGTCTTCCGCTACTCTCTGAACACCTCCTTCAGCGTTCGTTGTACAGAATTCTTGTAAGTTTTGAATGGTGAATATTAAAAGCTAAAATCATAATTAATTAATTTAATATCAATGAAGATGATGTTTTATCAATTATTTTAGAACGATCATCCCTTAATCAAAACATTTTATTTTCTTGGTTATTTACTGAAAGGAAAAAGAAACGTAGATAACGTTTGAAGTAAATTAATGCTATTTTTTCGAAGGTATTCTCCAGTATTGTTATCTAACATTTAAACTCATCTTTAATTAAAAAGTTACCAAAATCTCATTTGATTTTGACCGATAATTCATGAGTTAACGAAATTCATATGACGAAACCCCCAAAAGTGAAAATAAAAATTCTCATTATCTCCCACATCTCTAACAGCGTATATTCTCCTCTGCAAGGAGTTCATAAGTGCATATATCGTTCTCAAAGGGATATGAACAGGCCCGTAGGAAGCAATTTCAGTTCGGGGGGGGGGCACAGCCATACACTTTCAGTTGAGGGGGCACTATCAACTACCAAAAATTCCTGGACAAGCAAAAAAAAAAAAAAAAAAAAAAAAAAAAAAAAAGGTGATCAGAGGTTTTAATTGCTATGTTTTCTATAGTACTATATATATCGGCAAAATTATGGCGGAGGGGGGCACGCCCCCTCCCCGTGCCCCCCCGGTTCTTGATTTATTTACCCTTTCGACAGGGCAGTCCCTTAGTTAGACGGGAGAAGCTAGGGCATTCCGAGCTTCAAACTCTACCGTTTAGTTAGTCCCACAGATTTTCGATTGGAGAAAGAGATGGAATATAAGGAATCCAGTTGATTTAGTAAATGCGAATGTTTGCAAGAAAGTCTTTAGAAACTGGCTACATTTTCTCGGGGGGGGGGGGGGGGTGAACATGATGAAAAATTAGGCATACCACGCACACGTGCGCGAGTGAGAGTAACACCGACGTAAAGTTGACAAGCTGACGAACCAAAATAGAACAGTCTTTTTTTTTTTCAGTTTCAGTGAATGTAACGATTATGATTGCCTACTGTATTAATATCGGTTTCAGTGGTAATGCCAAGAGGCCAGTAGCAACGGTTTGAAAATAAAAATCTGACGAGGAAAAAAAAGAATGACCAAAAGTGGGGGGGGGGGGGACTTCCCAAAATTATCTGACAAGCAAAAAAAAAAAAAAAAAAAAAAAAAAAGAATACTGTCCAAATCCTGGAATTTGCCAGTGCTCGACCGTACAACATCAAAAAGTCGGGGAGGGGCAACCAGCATCTAAAGGAAAATTTACTATAGCAAAATACTGTACTCAGAAAAAAAGGGGGGGTTCTTCAATTAGGCAATTGACCGAATGGAACTTCCGTCGAAGTTGTTACTTTTAATCGATTGTCCCCTTAAAGCCGAAAAATACATGTATACTGAAAAAGAAACGCAGGGTAACATAAATATGCGCAATATTTTTGACTGCGTGTCCGAAAATTATGAAAACTGGTCAGAGGTATATCTTGATAACTGTATACTAATGTTTATTACGGTGTTCAAAATTACTCAACCGTGAAATGTATGACGTCACGTAGGAAAAGTTGCAAAAGCCCAAAAACACGTATATATTGATGAAGACAAGTTTGTTAACTCATTTTGCAGTACCACTT